TATATATTATTTTTATTATTTCTGAAAACACTTTTCGCACTTTTTCAACATTAATTTAAGCACTTTTTATCTTAATTTTTCTTTCTTTTTTTTTTCATTTTATGTGAGCGCAACAACAAAAGCTTTTGCCAATTTATGTTAATTTAGCACTAAAAATATACAGAAATGTTTTAATTTAATTCAACTAGAGAGCAATTTAAATTTATTGAAATTTCAATAGGGGCGGTCAGCAAGAATATACATATTTCTTCGTATATATATAAATTGTATCTATGAGATACGCAAGATCTTTGCGCTCAATTTAAAAGGCAAGGCAAGTCGCTGGACAGGGGCTGCATATAAAGACTATCGCGTGTAGTCTCTATATACAGTCATGCATATATATATGTATGTATATGTATATGTGTGGATATATCCATCTATATAAGTAATAGGGTCTGGGGTACTGCTCTGCAGCGCGCATTTCCTTTCTGTATGAACAGCAACAACAAGCACAGTATAAGGTGGAAAATGCTAGCAGCGACGTCAACGTCGACTGCGACAGCGACAGCGAGTTATTATAATCCAGTCAACGTTACAGTGAAGCAGGCAGCCGGACCGGGTCCAAGAACCACAACGGCATCAATCCACAAACCGGCCAAAAACAACAACAGCAACAAAATAAATAAGGAAAACGAAAAAAAAAAAAAAAAAAGAAATCCAGCCCGAGCCAAGCCAAGCGGGGCGCATGTTAAAATTCCAAAAAGCAGGCAACATGGAAATACAAGAACAACATTCATGCTGCCTTTTGTTGATGGTGTGAAGTTTGGCAACGTCGCMGTCGCCGCAGCAGCAGCAGCTCTCGCTCACACTATCTGACTAATGCGAGACGCGAGCGTCCTCCCTCTCTCTCACTCGCTCTATGCTTGTACACGCTGCGTAGCGTATGTGTGTGTGAAGTTTGGCAACGTTGCCATTTGTGTGTGTTTGCTTATAATTGACGTTTGCACTGAACTGCTGCGCTGCTGTCGCTGCCAGCGCTGTCTGACGTGGTTGTTATAGCTACTACTCACACAGGCACACATGCTGACATACACACACACACACACATACAGCGCAAAGTGGGGTGCCTGTTGTGCGAGCGAGATAGAGCGACAGGTTTTAATGGCCCGTTGTTGCTGCTTCAGTGCGCACACACACGCATACATATAAACGTATTTCTGTAAGTCAGCATGAATGTGAGTGAGTGTGTGTGTGTCTGTTATGTACTTTTATGTACATAAAGAATTTATAGCTGGTACTTTTTGTGCTGCTGCTGCTGTCTCTGCCTCTGCCTGGGCATGGCATGGAAAAACGAGTATCTTCTGAGTTTGTTTTTGCCGTTCATTCGTCATTGTTGTTGTTGTCCGTCGCTGCTGCTGCTGCTGTGTATTTTTAAATGGTTATGTAGTCATGTGTACCTACAGCTTGTATGTATGTGTGTGCGAGGGGTGCTTTGGGAACGCGAGTTGTTATTTCACGTTTTTTTTTCAGCCAACGACGATGACGACGTTGTGATATGGCCATGCATAAAATGTAGTTTTGTAGCTCCTATTGTTGTTGTTGTTGCTTTTGYCATTTGCTACGTTTTTGGGGGCCCTTTATACGACGTTTGGGGCGCAGCAGGAAATCACAACTACACGCAAAATGAAGCCCATAAAAATACTTTATGTTCAAGTGTATGTGTTTGTGTGAGTTCGTGTGAGCTAAACCTACATTATGTGTGTTTGTTTGCATGTGTGCGCTGCCGTCGCTGCTGCTGCCTGTACAAAACGCGCAGACGCTAGCGGGCGTTGAGCGCTCTCCCTTTCTCACTTTGGCACACACAACACCGCTATTGCCGCTGCATTCACACCCATGCGGAGAGAGGCCCCAGTTGGAGAGCTTATGGCGGCGGCCATTGCTGATTGCTGTGGCGACGTCGACGTCGCATCGATCGTGAAAGTTTCTGGCGCTGCCTGCCTGCCTGGCTGTACTAAAGCATCGTCTCTGCTGCGCATCAGTCGCTTTGTATGCCTGGTGGGGTGCGGTTCAAAATCGCTTTATTATTTTTGTTGTTGCTAATTCTGCTGCTGCTACAGCTGCTGCTGTTGCTGTTTGCTTTGCACTAGAGCTTTTTTCCGCCTTTGTCGACGTGTGCAAAAATCTATCTACCAAAGATTTTCGAAAATACATTTATAATCAGAAGGAAAAAAAAATCGAAAAGAAACCCGAAAAAACTAAATTCAAATTCTGTTCAATTTGTGCGTCTCTGTCGTATATCTCACTCTCTCTCTCTCTCTGTCCGTTTCGTTGCTACGACTTTTGTCTGGCAGCCATTTTGTTTTTTGTGGTCGTTTGAAAAACGTATTTGGCTTAAATATTACAGCAACTACGACACTTATGGCTAAAAGCTGTGGCCATTTATGGACAACATTTTGCAAAATCCCATTAAAAGAGGCGGCTTTGGCTTCAGCTTCAGTTAGAATTCCAATTTCATTAATATGCCAGCAGCTGCTGTCGCTGCCTCTGCCTCTGCCGCTGCTCTGCCTGCGGCAGAAGAAGAAGCTACCAAACCAGTTTTCTGTTCTTCTTCTTCGTCTTTGTAGTCAGCGAACTATGCAGTCATTTTTGTAGCGCTGCTACGTGACCACACATACAAGCAGACACACACACGCATTCACAGATGCACACACATACAGCTGTATAGTCGTGCGACGACCGCATTTGCAATGTTGTCCCAGAGGAGGGGGCAGAACGATGCGGGGCGGCTGCGGATGCCACCACACGCCGCGACGCTTCCAACGCCAACAATACAGAAACTTTTGTAGTTTTTGTCGTACAACGTAGTTTCTAGCAGCTCACACACACCACATACACACGTATATATACACACATCCATACAGGCGCACGCGCACGCACACGAAACGGGTTAAATAAGTTTTTTTTCTTGCTCGTTGTTGTTTTACTGCATCCGGCAGCTCGCTCGCACTCATAGTCACAGTTGGATCTCTCGCTCGCACGCGCGCGTTCTCGTTTCGTGCAGCTGAATCGATTTTTGAACGAGCGACGAGCGACAAACGACGTCGAGCGACAACGACGCTACAGCAAAACGCGACACGACAATTTCTCTCCATACCATAGCGCCATCTCGTTTGCACACACGCAGCGCATGTCTGCGCACTCGCTCTCACTGCTTTATTTGCGTTGTTCGCTGTTGGGGCTCAAATATATACACACATACATATACACATATATATACACTAATACATATGCTGAGGCAGCGCCATGTTACTTTTAGTTAGTTAGTTGTTGTTGTTGCTGTTGCTGCTGCCAACTCGTTGAGGGGGAGCTGTCAGCCTGGATTTTTGCTACAACAATTTAAACGTCGCTGTTGTAGCCGCTGCTGGCGTCACTGCCGCTGTCGCTGTCGCTGCTTCTGCCGCTGCCTCGTTATTTTTCAGCCCGTTGCACGTCATCCGTTCGCCTTATGTGCTTTGAATTTCTGATGAAATTCTTTGCTTTCGAGTTAATTGCTGTTGTTGCTGCTATAACAACGATGACGACGACGTCGGCAGCGACAGCGACCGCAGCGCCCCCAGGCCCCAAAACTGGAGCTGCCTCTGCCTCTGTCCCAATCGTTGTGCCATTTTTCTTTGTGCTGCGCAGCTTTGTAGATCGGCTCCACAGAAACCAACGAATCGAGTCCTGGGCGTATGCACAAACACTCTCACACACACACACAAACACATACATGCTTATATACAATTAGATGTATATAACATACATATATAACATTCTGTATAATTTTAGTTGTGCTCTTTGTTTAATTAGAAAAATTAGCATAAGCTTTGTGTGGCCGACTTTAAATTTAGTTTCAACTCTTTTTATTGCACTTTAAAACAGACAATTTGCTCTTTTTTAAACACATTGCAACACTTTCCTCTTGGCTTTATTTAACCAATTTAACATTTTTATTTTATTGTATTGACACTATTTTTTATATTTTATAAATTTTTGATTCCAGTTGCTGATTTATTTCCTTACCAATTGCATTGAGAGCTGCAAAGAATAAGAAATATGCCGTATTAGTGTTATTTTTTAATTTTAAGTACAATCAGCATTGCATTGCTTCCAGTACGAAAGCTTTCCAGTCTTCCATACTTACACCATTTCCAGTTGGCGATCGTCGCTTATTTTCCAATCGTTTTGGACTGTATTTGAAATTTTAGCATTTTCTTTTCTCTTTTCAAATTTCAAAGACCTCCAAACGATCCCGTTTTAACGTTCGCTGCGAGCCGGGAGTCAAAAGATTTTCAATAATTTACGTGAATTTTCATTTATCGACGATTTTCACTTGAAATTTGGGTAATTTGTTGAATCCGATTCAACAACAAAAAACTCAACACAAATGCATTTTTTTTTGTATTTAATTTCTCCCAAATTTGCGCAAAAAACAATAAAAAATTTGCTGCTCAACTTTTTTTTCTTCTTATTCGTATTAGAATTATTTTTGTATTTATCTTTTGTATTTCGATTGCGTTTGAAAATACTTTTTTGGCTTTTGTCGGCGGCTGCTGCTGCTTTTACGTACTGTTTTTGTTTGTGTTTGATTGTATTTTTATTTGTATTTACATTTGTTGTTGTATTTGTGTTTGCACTCGCATTCGCATTTGCATTTGTATTTGTGTAATTAATGCGTTTTCCCAAATAAACACAATCGCCTACACGCATACACATGCATCAACATACGCACACGCACACACACACTCACACACATAAGCGCGCGTACGCTCCGAAACCGCACACACTCTCATATATGCATTTATACAATTTGCATAAATAGAAGAGCCAAAGAGCCGTTTGCATGGAATCGCGACGTATTGTATTTGCGACGAGGGCGGGGGGCAGCGGAGGGTGCGATTTACTTTGATCAATATTATAATGCGAATTAATTCAATTTAATATTTAATTTCGGCGTGTGTTCGGCGTTTTGAATATTATCAATTTCTGGCTTGTAATTTATTTCAGTTTAATTACATATTTGCCGCGCGCGCAGCGACAACGAACCGACCACGACAAAAATTCAACTGAAACTGAAAGAATTAGCGGGTTGCCAGATTTGAATGGTGAGGGCTGGCATTTACCGACATGTGGCAACGCCAACGACTTAAGAGGGGCAGAAATGGTGTATTTCTGAATGGAGCTGCGCTGGCAGCACAGCACGAGTGCTGTGCGGCTATGGCTTATTGAATTTGTGACGTCAGACGGTGAACAAGTTGATATTTTAATACACAAATAATAAAAGTAGTCAAGTAGTATAGTGTATTGTACCTAAATGTAAATGTAAATATAAGCAAGAAAATGTTGAAGCATATTATTTTATATGAAGTTTGTTTTAAGGCTTTATTACATGGTGGTACCACTAACCAGAGTGGTGAGAACCGTTGCCAGTGCTGCCAAAATGTTTTATAGGTATGCATTTGTCGCGTTGACAGTAAATACAATAATAATATATACAATCTATTGTGTATTCGAATTTCGGAATATTTCGCGCCATTTACGTTTGTGTATTTCAACACTAGTCAGGGCTGCCAACCTATTTTACAGCTGCTTGATTGTCGGGTTGGCAGTAAACAAAAAACATTGACGAATATTAAAAATATTTATGCGGTGGCATTCGATTCAATGAGCAACTTAAAGCAGGATCTCGATGAGTATTTACTGCTGCAGAGCGACCAAAAGAAGAACTTCAATGTCAAGCTGCCACAGATTAAAGTGCCCGGGCTGGCGCAAATCTTTTCGCGCACAAGCGAACAGCCCGAGGCAAACAGTTGGCTAAAGGACACACAGGACTCTTGCTGCCCCAAGCTGGTAAATGACGATGAATTGACTAATTGACTGGCCATACATAAATGCCATTTCGCTTCACAGTCCCGCCTACAGCGCATTGTTGGCTTCGTCGCTTGCCTGGGCATGGGCTGCCTCTGCATGACGTTGTCCACGCTCTATATTCCAGTCTTGATGCTCAAGCCGAAGTTTGCACTGCTCTTCACGCTGGGCAGTCTCTTCTTCATCTTGAGCTTCTGCTTCCTCATCGGCTTTCAGGCATTTTTCAAGCAAATGTTCTCGCGCCCACGCCTCGTCACCTCCATCTCCTATAGCGCGTGCCTTACCTCAACGCTATACTTTGCGCTGGTGGCCAAGAGCACCGCCTTCACGGTGCTCTTCGCCGTCGGCCAGATCATCACGCTGCTCTTCATGCTGCTGGGCATGGTGCCGGGCGGTGCGACGGGCCTCAAGTTCTTTGGTCAGCTCTTCAAGAGTAGCGTCTCCAGCTCGTCCAGTGCGCTGCCCGTTTGAGCTCGTACCAAGAAATCAAAAACAATTTTACAAATTATACAATACAAATTATTTATTAATCGTTATGACAATGCAGAAAAATAAAACTTATTTGTGATAGAGCCCGAGGATTGCTTAAGACTGTGAGTTGTTCAGATGAGATCTAAGAATTAGCTGGAAGTAGTTCAAGCGAAATGATGTGTAGATCTAGCTGAGGTATAGCAAGAGTCTAGTGCTAGTCTTACATGTGAGCATGAAGAACTAGGTCTTGAAATTCTGTAAGTATACAAATTAGTGAGATGGAGCCTTTGATCCTGCCTGGTAAAAAATAGATCAGCAGTTGATATTGAATCTTGCCTCGATCAATGAAGGAAGGAATACAGGAAGAGAATCTTTAAAGAGCTAACCGATCAAATCTCACTTGAGTTATAATCAAGTTGTTAATCTTGATGCTTCCCTGCTTAAGTATCGAATATCGCTTAAGTATGAATCATTCAGCTAATCTCAAATCCCAGCTCAATCCTCAGAACAAAACTTCAGCATCTCCTTCTCAATCTCACTGATTCTGAAATCATCTACCGTAGCTAATCCTCAATCTCGCCCAGATACAAGGTCTTATCGCTTGAGCCGGACAATATGAGAGGTTCCTTCGGACTGAAGTCCACATCGTTCACGCTGCCATTGTGTCCGGGCAGCTTGTACAGTATTCTCCGCGTATTCACGTCCCACACGTAGACGTGTCGATCCGCTGAGCCGGCGCTGATCTTATCGCCACCCGGCGCCCAGGCGCAGCGCAGCAGATTCTTCTCAAAGTTATGCTGATGTCCCTGGAAGACCTTGACGCAACGCTCGCCGGGCGCATAGGCGCGCACATCCCACACGCGCAGCGTGTTATCCATGGCATTGGTCAGGACAAAGTCGCCCTCCGGGGACAGGGCAACCGCTGTGATTGTGTCCGTATGGCCACGCAGATGGTGCAGCACCTGCTGCTTGCGTATGTCCCAGATCTTCAACTCGTTGTCGATGCCGCCGCTGATGACCTGCTCGCTGGTGTCGCCAAAGCAGACGGCTGTCACTTGGTAAGGTGATTCCAGGACGTGCACCGGCTGCTTCTTGCGTGCGTCCCAAATGCGTATGGTGCGATCGTCGCTGCCGGAGCACAACAGCTGCTGGCCACGCCTCGAGCCCTGCACACTGTTCACAAAGTTCGTATGGCCCTTCAGGCGTCGCACTCTCTGACCCGTAACAATGTCCCAAATGGCCAGCGTTTTGTCTGTGGAGCAGGTGAATATATGCGAGCCATCCGGCGTAAAATGCGCCTCCATGACGGCACCACTGTGACCCGACATGGCCATTATGTTCTCACAGTCGCCATACACCTGCCAGATATCTAGAAGTGGAATAAAGTTTAGTCTAACTGAAATATATATATATATGATGATGCTCATTTACATAGCTGCCTGTCGAAGCCGGAGGAGAGCAGCATTTCGCCTTCCGGATGAAATTCTGTCGTAAATATTTCTCCTTCATGGCCCTCCAGCTGCATAATAGGCGCCTGCAGATTGGAGGTGCGTCGCACGCCCTGAAATTGCATTGAATTAGAAAAAAGTGGAGGAACAGTGCGAATGAAGCGTTGGGATTGACATCAGGAAGATTGTTTAGAGCGGCAGCAGAGTCAAGGAAAGCCGACAGCCGACAGTCGTCCATCTTTATATAGGTTTCACTGTGAATTTCCATTCACAGCTCATATTCAAGGCATCCTTCATTTTTCCAGAGTTGTGTTCTTCCACTACCACCTTTCTCTGCAAGCCTCTAAAAATCTTCCACACCAAAACACGCTGCTTCCTCTTCTTCTTCAAGAGCTTCATTCAGCTTACCGATTCCAGCAGCGCTTTATCCCGATTTGTATATGCCACAATGTCATTTTTGCTGCGCTTAGGTTCTTGCGCCAGCATCACACTATTATTGGGTCGTTTTGTGGCCATTTTATTTAAGAAAATTTACTTAAACGTAAGCGAGCGACTCTTCAGCCGCAAAAACAAATGCCAGGGCTGCCAACTCGCTGAAAAGCAACTATTAGCAGTGCTGCAAAATATAGTTTAAGCAACACTGTCAAAATACCAAAACAACGAAACTAAACCAATTTTATCATTTTACATATTATCATAATTTTCAATTTTCTTTCATTTAAAACATATTTCAGCTACATATAAGCAATGATTCCCTTAATAAGCATCAACACGTGGTGGTTCTGCAAACAGTTCCTCCCGCTTGCGCTCACCGGCCAGCCACTGTTTGTAGCGCTCCGTGCGCATAGCCTGAAGGAAAACATAAAAGGCTTAAATATATATTCAACTTTCCATTTGCAATAATGCAAGCTTACATGGAAGCGCAACAGCTGCTTCTGCATGCCCACGCACTCCTGGAAGTCGGCAATCAGATCGGCACATTGCTTTTTGCCGCGTTCCATGCCGTAGGCTTCCAGGCAGTCCATCATTTTCATTTCGAATTTGCCGCATTTGTCGTAGGTCTGATGGTTGATCAGGCAACCGGTCAAATCGGTGAGTGGCAGACGCAGGAAGGGCGACAGCGACATCTCGGCAGCTCCTAAATATATAATGAATATTTATATTATTCGCACATTCCAATTGGAGTATTATTTTGCCACTCTGTGACGTAACAATAACAATGCTTTTCACTTGCTTATAAAAGCAATTTATTTCACTTGCAGTTGCTTGAGCGATGCTTTAGGTGTTATTACGTCGCATAAAGTAATTATAACAGATAAAACGCACCTTAAATCGCAATCAGAAGAAAAATAGAAATATTTGACAATAGACAGCCGATAATTTGGGGCAGCACAACTGGTCACACTTAAAAACCAGCTGTCGATCCGCTACACTGCAGTATTTTATGATAACTAAACACAAATAGCGCCAAAATATATCGAGTCTAGTATTTTAAACAGTGTTCACAAACGATGCTTTGCTAGCACGTTTTGTTTACATCCCAAAGTTGAAGTTATAATTGTTTAAATTGAATTTGATTTGAATTAAGTACTAAAGGAAAATGAAGAGTCAGGAGCTTGTTGATTATTTGGCAAGCTGTGGCGTCTGTCGCGTCTGTCAGTTGCGCTATTTGAGAGCACGCGGCAACGAATATCGCGACATGCAGCAGACCTTTCAGCGCGTGAGAAAAAACATTTCAAGAAATTCAAGCGGCTTTAAAAATACAGAAGATTTTAATTCTAGCTGGATGTTAAAGTAGATGACAGAGATTTGAAGCCGTCAGAGGATGAGCCGAATGAGCAGCCACCAAAAAAGCCCCGCTTATCCATTTGCTCAACTTGTTTGGGTTTGTTCTCGGAGGAGTTTCAAAGTCAGTTAATTGAGGGCATTTCCAAATCGGATTTCGGCAAATATGATAGCGCGGGAATTGTCCTGGCTATAACGCTGCCGCTGACACTACAGCTGCGCCAGCTGTCCATGTGGTTCGCCCTACAGCGGAAATTTGGCAAGAGCTTCTTCAATGATAACTCTGCCCCGGATGTGCCCATCAAGGAGGCCGTCAAACTGATTCTGCATCCCATTGTGTGCTCGAAGCTGGGCAGGGAATACGATGCAAACGGGCTGATGATCAACATTGATGTGCGGCACAGCGTTGAATCCGAGGAGGTGGACAAGTTGACCGAGCTGAATCGAGTCGCATTTCCGGGCAAGAAACGCATCGAGATCTCGCGAGGATTGCTGGAGAAACAATACCAACCGGCACGCATTAAGGCTGATATCTTCGAGAAATATCTAGCAATACCACCGGCTGCTGTCGAGGAACCCCTGCAGCTGCAGTCCATTGACCTAATGGGCCCCATCGTCTGTGTCGCTGGCAGATATCGGAAATTGAGTCGGGAGCTTTCGCATACGCCGTGGGTGCTGCAGGGCAGACGGATTATGGAGGAGAGCATTGAGGAGATCATTGTGAAACAGGTGGCGCCACATTTCACTGATACGGTGTGCAAGGTTACTTTCATGTCCAGTGGGCGAGAGGATGTGGACGTGCGCTGCACGTCAAGGCGTGTGTGAGCCGGGAGAATCGGCGTTTGCTCATCATAGATGTGGTCAGCCAAGCGGGCACATATATCAAGGAGCTGGTTCATGGCGAATTCGGACGTACAACGCCCTCCATATCCTCCATCATAGGCAAACCCATTGATATATTAGCTTTAGATGTTGTTGGCATAGATTTGGATTGGCCAGCAGATGTAAATAATGCGGAAATCGAGATTGAATAAAAGGCGGTTTATCTAATGTAGCTTTTTGAGCTTTTTGCAACACTGAAAGCAATGGGCTCAATGTTTAAAATGGTGCGGATTTGAAAAATGTGTAAAATGTGACGTCACAGCTGTTGCATTCTATCTGTAACCATGTAATTGTTACATGACTAGTGATTTTATATAGACACACATTCGGTAAAAAAACTTTAAAATTATGTTACGAGCTTGAGAAGAATTTAAGTTGAAAAGATGTATAGAATTTTATATTGTCTGAATTCACATTTATTTTAGCCAAAAAAAGGACGATACAATAAAACAAAATCTATATATAGCGCAAAATGATGAAATAAATAAAATATTTTTCATCATTGAATGTTATTTACAAGCAAATGGCGAGTATATCCAAGTAATGTGACGTCACAATATTTAGCCCGATTCAAGAATGAGGATGCATAAGTTTATAAACAATTGTAAATGAATAGACAATTTTTGTTTACTACATTTTTTAACAGCTAAACAGTCAGGATTAAAAAAAAATATTTCTTTTATCTTACAATATTTTTAATTCAATTGCAACATCCATGCAACGCTAACAGCTGTGACAGTGGAGCACATCTCAGCGCATTGTTTTATCTGACCTACCTATAAGAGCGCATTTCAACAAGTTGGCAGTTCCGCTCTCTTATCAGCTGAGAGCGCTTGCAAGTCGCATACGGATTTGTTTAGTTATTTTAACTCTTGCAGTAAAGTTTAATAAAACTACACAGACAAGAACGACGAGCTGCAGTCTGTGCCACAGGCAACTGATAACTGTACCTAGCCGAATGCTTTAATGTTAAAAAAAAGTTCAGAAAATACAATTGTGCACAGCTGGTCGCGTTCTATGCGCATTCTCTAGTAACAAAAAAAAAAAAAACGCCGTAAATTTGATAAATTATGAATTGAAACGTGCGCAAAAAGTGAAAGTGCGTGTTGTAGCTGTTGAAGTCATTGATCCTTACATCCTTTGCTATCGCACAGTGACTGCAAAAATGTACGCACAATTGGTGTTTTTTTGTGTATTATTTGTCTTTTTCCTTTGAGCACGTCTCTTGACTTGCCCGCGCGCGCGGTTTTGGGTGTGTGAGAGTACGCCCCGCCGACCTTCAGGCAACCTTCACTGGCTTAATGCCTGCGCTGCTGCGACGGCTGCCTATGTGCAACATGTTGTGAACCAAAGACAAACTACAGCAGCGCCTCTTCGCCTCACGTGTGTAATCAATAGATTTCCGCAGCAGCAGCAGCCGAAATAAACAAACTCAATGCACATACAAAAAAAAAATGCAAAAAACAGCCCGCCAAACCCTCATTTACTCATCCCATTCATCCCACTCACTCTGACTGCTCTCAATGCGCTGCCTCCCTCTCTCTCGCACACTGGCCCGGCTGCTAAGTAACAACAATCAACAAATTCACCCAGCAAACAAATTTTCCAGCACATTTCGTATGCTGCAACCCAACAAACGCTTAACGCGCGCTCTTCTCTGCGCGCAGCTAACATTTTTCTGTTGATGTTTTTTTTTTGTTTCGCATTTTTCTACTTGCTCGCGATTTGTGTGTTTTCAGTTGAGCTTGAAACGCTTAGCGAAAAAGTTTAGCTCGCGCGATAAATTCTGAATGGCAAAAAAGTGATTTCAAATCAAAAGAGTTTGTTTTTTCCTAATAATCATTGCACCCTAGGCCTTCCTCCTTCCATTCGCACGCAGTGATAAACCAATTGATAAGAAAGACGTATGCAAAAAAAAAAAAAAAAAAAAAAAAAAAAAAAAAAAAAAAAAAAAAAAAAGAAAAAAACAAAAAAAAAAAAAAAAAAAAAAAAAAAAAAAAAAAAAAAAAAAAAAAAAAAAAAAGAAAAAAACAAGAAACTAATTGATAACTGGCAATTTTGTTGTTGTTGTCTTACTATTTTTTCATTCGCAATTCTTATACTATTTAAAAATTTTTTTTTTCGCACTTAATTAACCCAGTATTTAAATGCAAGCTGTGCTTGCGTCATTGAACGAGGCTCGAAACAGTTTTTCAAAGCTTTCAATTTTTAAATATCTTAAAATATATATTTAAGTATATGCTTATTGTATATATATGTATATATACTGCAGACTTTTAATCTCAGCAATATTTTTTTAAATTAAATTTTCAAGAATATTTAATTAAGTCTCATTCAGTGGGCACGATTTGTGTATGTGAATGACCTATAAACGTGCCGTCGTAAACAACAAACAAAATACCACAAACAACAATAAATAACAGCAACAACGAAAGAAAGAAAATATATAAACTTTTGATCATGAATGACCGTGAAATGAGCTGCAATACGGGCGGCCAATTTATGGATCGCGGACGCATGAACCAGAATGGAGTTGTCCAGCCCCTATTAACTGGTGAGCTACAACAAAACTTACTCAAATTTTAACTGTTTAATATATACATATAAAGTAAACAGAACAAATTTGATTTTATTTATAAAGTACTTGCTTTGAAATAGAAACATTTTAATAAACGAAACATATCTCAATTAAAAAGAAAATTTATTCTTATGTTTTAAAGCAGTATTATATGAAGATATACAGACATGTGTTGATTGATATATACGTATGCAGATATTGTGATACTGATATTGATATTGAGTTGTAGAATTTTTATAAGTGTTTATATGTTCATGAAAGTAAAAGTGCTGAGTAAACAAAAAAATAGGTCAACTTTTTGTTTAGAATAAAAAAAAAAAGCAATAAAATCCCCATTACTTTTGCTTTGTAACGTATGAATAACAAAATACATTTTATTTAAACAAGCTTTCTTTCATAATTTCAGAAAAAKCTGTTATGTATTTTAGTTTAAAAATTGATTAAAATAGATGAAACGTTCTTATTGAAATTATAATTAAATTTAATTCTATGTTTAGGAATTTCGCAATTCCACTATATAAAAATAAATGTATTTAATATTTCGTTATTTATAAATAAAATCATGTCAATTGTATAATTTGCTCTTTTCATTCTTATCTCTTTATCATAGTTGTTGATAAAGTGATTCACTTGAGATTTATTCAAAATTCTAACATTAGCAGACACATAAACACAATTAATATACAAAATTGCAAGAATCTAGCCTGTGTAGCCTTTGAGATCTTACTTAAGAGAAGAAGAATACTTCTTCCTTCTGCTTATTATACATATTTTCATAAAAAAGTCAGCTTATTTTCTATCTTCCATAGGGCTACCCTTGCCTTTATATATACAAATATTTAATAAGTGTACCGATATCGATATATACATATATATTTTTATATAAATGCTCAGACAAATATAGAGAGGTATACGTGCTTAGACTTCAAGTTAAATAAATTGATATATCTGTAGATGTTGAGATTGGGTGAGATATGTATATATATATTGATTGATAGATTAAATATTTACATACCTATATAATCTTAATTTTTGTGTCGTAATTTTGTTTTCTATTACAACAGTTTTATTTAGTTTTGTTTTTAATTGTTTATTTTTGTAGATTTCTTTTTTAAAGTTCCACTGATTCAATATGCTATTTAAAGTCGTATCAACTCCCGTTTGGCATTTACATTTTTAGCTTTATCTATTTTCGTCTATATTGTATAGAGATAGGAAGATTGCCATGATCTCTGTATCTTGTCGTATTTGCATTTCTGTCTGTGTAATTATGCACAAATTTTGAACTTTGAACGTATCTTATTGCACGGGTTCATTTAACGATTTACGCCGTTGGTTAACCACTGAGTCAATAAATAGTCTCATATCATTTGAACTAGTCTAAAATGGAGGCTATCGCTTGTCTGCTTATCGGCATTATCTGCATGTACTTTATTACTTTTACTTCATCGCAGATTTATATCAAATAACAATGGCCTATGCCTACTGGAAATCGGACAAAACGGATGATCAAGCCGTGTTTGATCTATTCTTTCGCAATAATCCATTCCATGGAGAGTTTACCATATTCGCGGGGCTGGAGGAGTGTCTCAAGTTTTTGGATAGCTTTCATTATTCGCAGAGCGGTGAGTTTGATAAATTTATTACAATGTAATAAGTTTTGAATAAATTTTCTTTGCTTATAGATATTGAATACCTGCGTCAAACATTGCCCGAGGGCATTGAGAACGAATTCTTCGAGTACTTGGGCAACCTGACAGCTCATGATGTTACGCTCTATGCTATAGATGAGGGCACGGTGGCATTTCCTCGGTGAGTTAAGCTATAAGGTTGGCTTAAGAGAAGACTTCCAGTGGGACTTTCAGTAGGGATTCAAAGACTATTGGATAGAAGCGTTAACATGACTGTTGAAAGATTATATATGTTTGCATGTTGAAGAATAGAAAACTAAGGATGACCGTAAAAAAATTGAATATGCATATTAAAAGATTAAGGAATTCATATTCAAATGGTTTCAATAAATAAGTGAATTTTGTACATTTATATAAATAATTTGGCTCGTCTGGCGAAATTTTAAAATGGTTTTAACATGGCTGTTAAATAATTAACATGCATGCTAAATTTTAGCAGTTGTCTTGACTATAAATCATTGTTGATATGATTGTTGATTGTTATATCTATGTAATTAAAGCAGAAACTATATGTACTTAGATTATCTAGATGAATCTAGATTATCTTTAAATGCTGAAAATTTATATAAGTTTTAGCTAATTAAGTTTGATAAAAACATAATTATCATATTTATTTTTGTAAATTATAATTTTGAAATACAAAAAATTTACAAATTATATCTATCTAGTAATACTTAAGATTAACGTGCATATTAAGCAGGTTTATTGTCGAATTCAGATCGTTAATTATTTACAAAAATAATAAATATAATTCTTAAAATTTACAGTGGTTATACAGTTTATATAATTATAATTTAAAGATTTGTTTTTTTTTTTTTTAAATATATAAAATACTTTTATTAAACGGGTCGTAAAAATATATATGAAAATTAAAAGAAAAATTGTTAAAAACCTTTATAAACTTGTTAAATTGCTTTAGTAATGATGATAAAAATATACTATATAACTCATATATTTGGGGTTATATAAACATTATGTCTACGTCAATATTAGCTATGTCTGGAGCATTCACCCACATATTCTCATATTTGATCTGTCGTTTTTACAGCGTGCCGATCATAAAGCTAGAAGGACCCTTGATAATCGTGCAGCTGCTGGAGACAACGCTGCTCACGCTCGTCAACTATGCCAGGTGAGCGGGAACGTGTGATAAGTGGAATGGGAACATATTAATGAAGCGAGCATTTATTTCTCTTTCGCTTTTATTGACGCAGCTTAATGGCGACAAATGCAGCGCGTTATCGCATGGTGGCGGGCAAACACGTTAAGCTGCTGGAGTTTGGACTGCGCCGTGCGCAGGGACCGGACGGCGGACTATCCGCATCCAAGTATTCCTATACAGGTACATATGCCGAATTTGCCGTGACAACTAAGGTCAAACGTGTGCGAAAAGATATATCACATTTGGCTTGTGTTCGGCATTGCCAAATTGCATGCAGCTGGGTCGTAATCAATTAAAAAGCAAATACCTCATGAAACTAGCGCCTGGATTGCCATTGATCGATGCAGCAGAAGCAGCAGGGGCAGGGGCAGGGGCAGCAGTGGCAGGAGCAGCAGTGGCAGGAGTTGAAATTTCATATTTGGCTTTTTGGTCGTTTTTTTTTATATTTTTTTTTTATTTTATGATGTGCTTGCATGCAAAGCACGTGTCACTGTCACTCGATGTGGGCTCCGGCCTTTTTACCTTGTTATAACGCTAAACAGTTTTTCCTTTTTGTCTCGCTTCCATTCACACTGTAAAGTTCAAGAACTTCGCCATGTGTTCAAAAGTGGGTGGCACACGCAACGCCGCAGGCCAACTACACAAACTTTTTCATTGTTCCATGTGTGTGTGTGTGTGTGTGCGGGGAGGAGCAGAAGGAGGCAGGGAAGAGAGGACCTATACGTACCTATCGCCGCCTGGCACCTAAATTTCAATAGGCGCTCACACATCGTAACTTCGCTTCCTTTTACCTTTTTTTTTTTTGTACTTTTACAACTCTTTTGGCCATCATAAAAATTGCCGTTTGCCTGGCAGTTTGGCTTAAATTTTGTAATGCGTTTAATTATGATGGGCTCAATCTGGGTTTTTACCCAATTCCAAATCGATATATTCGCGTGACGCGTGACTCACGCGTCCAAGGTCTTCAAAGCCGTTCAGCCATGAAACAACAGCGCCTTCAAATCTAAATCAAATTGGGCAATGTCAAATCTGTTTGAAATGTCTTATAATCTTAGAAGAGAATTGCAATTTGACAGTTAACTGAAAGCCATATGAGAAGCTGATCTGAAAATGTAATCAAACTCTTAACATATTAAGTTAGTTAGTTAACAGAGAGTGTGATGCCACGAAAATATTTAAACGTTTTTTACACTAGTAGCAGCTTGAAATTCGGTTTATCAAGCTTAACATAACAGCGGATACCATTTAGAGTAAATGCACTTACTTATGTTAACTTAACAGAGTAACTCCTTAAACGACTGCGACATGCTAACTTACATAATTGTATGCGGTCTTGATTTAACATAGCAGTGAATGTTAATGCACATTTTATTAATATAGAAACTGCCTTATTTGACTGTTATCGCTCTGCTAGAATTAAATGATATGTTATATACATTCATTTCCTCTTCAAGGTGGCTTTGATGGCACCTCCAATGTGCTGGCTGGCAAACTGTTTAACATACCCGTGAAGGGCACGCATGCGCATGCCTATATCACAAGCTTCAGCAGTGTGGGCGAGCTGAAGACGCGGTTGCTGAAGCACAAGCAAACAGGTGAGCACTTCAAATAATAATAAATTAATAAATTGAATAATATATATCGATACAGGCATTATGGAGGACTTGCTGGAGCATGCTATACGGCATCGTCAAATGCTTTCCCATGTGCTGGATGTATCCACGGAGGAGTCCAGTGAGGGCGAACTAGCTGCTATGGTCTCGTATGCCATTGCCTTTCCGGATGGCTTTATGGCGCTTGTCGACACGTACGATGTTAAGAGGTATTTCGCTTTTAGGCAGATTCTCTCGGAACGGTTTTTGGTTGTGTCTCCATATCTATATCTATTTATATATATATTTAGTAATTCATTCAGTTTTGAGTTATTTGAGTTTTAGTTTGTTGCTCGATTGTTTTTCAATTTCATTATCAAACAAGTTTACTCTACCTATTTGGGCACCAAATGAAATCAACAAAGTATGAGGCAGCAAATGCAGTTCCCAATCATTCGAATCTAACAAATGCGTTTCGTGTGCTCAACTGTGACCATGCCCATGACATACATATATGCTAGCCGCCCCTCGCTCGATATTTTGCGTTAACTTTCATTTTGTGCGCCTTGTTGATCGTCGTAATAATTCAAGTATTCCCCAACAGCCGAGTTACAGAACAAGTCACACAAGTCTCATACGTACAAACTGATAACAAATCAAGAACAACAACAGCCGCAACAGCAACAACAACAACAGCAACAATAACGAATGGCTTGCCGCCAACGCCGCCAGCGACGCCGCAAGCTGCAGCAGCAAATGGCCAGCTCAGTGGACGCAAGAACAGTCTGAGCCAAACTGAGCTAACAAATGGTCAATCAAATAGCACAGAGCCAGCTCAAACAGATATAGTCAATGCAACAACAACAACTCCAACAATCAACACATCAACGTCCAATGGGACGGCGTACCTACCAAAATATGTCGAGAAGTCATTCAGGTAAATGTCACGTAACGGAACTACCAAAAGCATTTAACCTAAACAATAAAAACAAATTAAGAGATAAATAACTCCTTTTCATTATCATTATTTTTTCGTTATCATTTTGTTTTTCTTCTTTCTCTACATATATTTATATATCTTATTTCGAAACTAATCTCTCTGTACTTACACATGTTTTGTATTATATTTTTTCTTGTCTGGTGCCAGCATGAGTGCCCCTATTACTATTACTAATACTACTACACCATACACTCACTCAAATATAAATATATATATTTATCGAATTGCATATATTTATATATCGGCCATATCCCCAATTACTACACATTGTCATATCATGCGAAATAAAATTTAATATAAATTACTGCTAAATTCCAAATTTTTGCATATATACACACACATGTAACATCTTTTAAAATATGTATGTATGTATGTGTATATGTGCTATATGTATTGGTCTGAATGCCCAGGCGCTAACGGTATTGCTAACTCAATTAGGCCAGCTCAATATGTCAAACAGGTGATGTGCCCTATATTTTTTTGTTAAACGAAAAAATATATTTTATTTAAACGAAAAAATATATTTTATTTATTTTATTTCTATTTTTAATTTTATAGCTCATTTGCTAACTTTAAAAATGTCTTATCTCCCCTTAAATGTATTACATATCTTAGTATTTTATTTCATCTTCAAAGTCCTTTTTATTTAAGTTTAATTTTGTGAAAAGTTTAATTGATTGAATTGATATAAATTATAATTGTTTTAAGCTTACTTCCTTTTTTTTTATTTGCACAGTGTTTTTGTTGTTATTTTATTTACTATTTTTCAGTTCATTCATGCTTTAATTTATAATTTTGTAATATATTAGTTTAGTAAAAGTGATATGTGTATATATTTTTATTGTATTTTAAGAAGCTCTTTTTATTTATATTAAAAGATATAGCTTCTATGTACATTCCTTAAATTTCCGCCTAGTATTTACTTCAAGCAGTTGTTAGCAGCTCTCTAATATAATAATGTTAATAACAGGTTCCATTGTAAGCATAAAATGTTAGCTAACAGCGACTCAGTATGCCGGTTATGTTAAATAACACCAGAATGTTAATGAACGTTAAAGACTGTCTATGTAATAAGAAAATAAGTTGAGGTGAATGCTGGGCCACCATTTTAATTACTTATTTAATTTAATTAAACTAACAAACTTTTTCATTTCATTCACATTTACATAATTTAAACCACTATTTTTTTGCTCTTCGTTAAATGTGACATTAAACGTGTGATAAAACCAAATAACGTATAACCAGAAAAGTCGCCTTAATTAAACCTGAAACCGATCAAATATATATATAAAGAAATAGAAATTACTCCCATCTAACATAGTAAAAATGACTTCCCGGCACTATTTTGGCAGAGGTATGTAAAACACGTCTTCAAAATACAACGACAAAAGAATGAAACAAACTACATGAAAATCATTTAACACTCACACAACTCTAATGAGAAATGAAACTTTTTCAGCTGCGATAAATAAGAATGACACTGAATCACCCTAATGCTACATACTACATACATTATAAATATATTTATATAATGATTTTTTAATGTCTGTTCATAAATTTTTTGTTTACTTTAATATTGATTATGGAAAATTGAAAGAGATTTTAGTTTTGTTCAATTTGTTAATTGTTACTTGATTTCATGTGTGTGTGTATGTCTCTGTTTTATACTTATCGTTTCTATACATATAAAAATATATTAAATTTGATAGAAAAGCGTCCGAGAGAGCACACTGCATGGCTTTCAGTAAATAAAGCTTTCAAAAGTTGTGCCTACAAAAAAAAAAAAAAATTCTATGCAAAGTCAAAGCTAAAACACCCAATATCTACTTTTACTCCTCCCCCCACCAAAAAAAAAAAAAAAAAAAACCAAAAACCAAAAAAAAAAAAAAAAAAAAAAAACACGCTTTGCACTCTCTGCATTTTTTTCTAGAACTGAGCCACGCCCATACAACCAAAAACACCGCCCTCCCAAAGTCGCTTTTTGAAATTAGTTAAAATTGATTTGAATTCGAAAATCGAAAACTCAAGCTGCACTTAAAGCTTGCTTTTATTACTGTTAACAGCTTGTTTTAATGCACGCTCACTTTGCTCTCTCTCTCTCTCTCTCCAACTCTCTCCCGCTCTATCTCTTTCGCGCCCTGTGCAGAAGTGGCCTGCTAAACTTTAGCGCTGTGGCCCTGGCACTCAATGATTTGGGCTATCATGCCCTGGGCATACGCATTGACTCTGGCGACTTGGCCTATTTGTCCTGCCTGGCGCGCGAGGCCTTCGAGAAGGTGGCGGATCGCTTCAAGGTGCCCTGGTTCAACAAGCTAACTATCGTCGCCTCCAATGACATCAACGAGGATACCATCCTGAGCCTGAATGAGCAGGGGCACAAGATCGATTGCTTTGGCATTGGCACGCACTTGGGTGAGCAGCTGAAGCTAATAGAAAATACAAGATACAAAATACAAAATAGAAAATAAATATAAATTTAATTGAATTTAATTGAAAATTCATTCTCAGTCACCTGTCAGCGGCAGCCTGCGCTTGGCTGCGTTTACAAGCTGGTGGAGATCAATGGGCAGGCGCGCATTAAGCTGAGCCAGGATGTGGAAAAGGTGACCATGCCGGGCAATAAGAATGCCTACCGTCTCTATAGCGCCGATGGGCATGCTCTGATTGATCTGCTGCAAAAGGATTCGGAGCTTCCGCCGGCTGTGGGCCAGAAGGTGTTGTGTCGTCATCCGTTCCAGGAATCGAAGCGCGCCTATGTCATACCCTCGCACGTCGAGTCCCTCTACAAGGTGTACTGGAAGGCGGGCAAGATATGCCAACAGCTGCCGACGCTGGAGCAGGTGCGCGAGAAGGTGCAAATATCGCTAAAAACTTTGCGCAACGATCACAAACGCACGCTCAATCCAACGCCCTATAAGGTGGGTCTCTCTATGAATATTATTAAATACATATATTATATAGAATTCCTTCAATCTCTCCCTAGGTCGCCGTCAGCGATAATTTATACAACTTCATACACGATCTGTGGCTGCAGAATGCGCCCATTGGCGAGCTCTCATGATCTATATAAAGAGCCTAGCTTGGCCGCCCTACGAAGCAACAAACCAATAATAATTGACAACAACAATTCCGCAATAAATTTATAATTTGTTTAGTCATTTGCTGGTCATATGCATTAACAGGAAAACAGGAAAACTTCAATGTGCAAAAATGTGTTTTTGTTAGCACAAACTATATATATAAACAAATAGAGCTGCTCATCATTAGTACGAATCTTAATAATATATATATATATACGTTTGTATATATATATTCTATATTCTATATATCTTCTATATACACGCACATATTAATCAGGAATGTGTCATGTGCCTTACACCACAACTACCAAGAGGAGAAATCATCGTAAACTGTAACCAAATACTTAAGAGGAAAGAATCGACGACGACGAAGAGAACAACAAAATCTGGATGTATTTAATATTTTTAGTCATTAAGTGTTGTATGTTGCTAACACAAAACAAAAAGAAAAACAAAAACAAAAACAAAATGAAAAACTAGAATCAGTTGAAAGTACAAATGTTTTGCTAATTAGTTTGCATGTTTAGGCGGACACAAGAAATGCACACACACACATAGGACACACTTAAATAAAATACTTAAATAATTAACATATTATCTAAATGCTTATGTTTAATTAATAATCAAGTGTAAATATGTTCAATTTTATAAATGTAAGCCAGAAAGCAATACACAATGTACACAGAAACACACACACCCACGTTTATTAAAAGAGCGCTTCAACAAATTTGAAAAAGTGTTTTTATTAAAAAATAAATTGAAATAATATATAATAGAAACTGTAAGGCAAAAAAATGTAGGTTTATCAGGCTAAACTTTGCACAGAGTTGAGGTAAAGTAAATTTAAATTTAGGGAACATTGAATTAAAATTGATGGCATGTGAAATATTTTGAATCAATGCAATAAATAATAAACATTTAAAATAAATTTCAAACTTAACATCTCAAACCTCTCTATTAAACACATTTGAATTTCGCGCGATTCATTAACAGTAACAGCTTTCTCGTCTTTTCTTTCCCTGTAAAGCGCTCTGTTAACAGACTTTGCAGCGAGTTAGCAGTTCTGTTCACAGCTGTTGCTGCGTGTGAATTGTTTGTTTACTTTTATTAAAATAAATTAACTGAAAAACGTTTTTTAAAGCTCAAATACTTTTGCACTGGCTGCAATACATGCGAATCATGAGTGGTATAATCGACCTGTCCTGTGTGAAAATTGAGCGAGACCAGGAGCTGGAGCAGCAGCAGGAATTCTGTGGAATCTTGGAGAACGCCAACAGTGCTCAACTAAAAACTGAATTGCCTTTCGCAGAGATGGACATAGGACCTGTTAAAGTAGATCCGGATGGATTGAAAGAGGAGCCAGCAGGCAAGGGGCAGATTAAACAAAGAAATGAGTCTCCGAGGACTCGCAAGAAGAAGAGAGCTGCTGCACCAGCAGTTGCTGTGTAAGACATGGTTTTAACGACAGTTTGAAAATTTGTAAAGTATATTTGCCCTCTCATTTTCAGTCCTCCTACTGATGCCAAGAGACACTATCAATGCCCACATTGTCCACGGCATTTCGAACGCAGCGATGAGCTGAGTATCCACCTGCTAATACACACACATAATCTATCCTACAAGTGTTCCTACTGCCCGTGCAGCTTTTCGCACAAATCCATCTATACAAGCCACATGTATGGACATACGGGGAAATTTCCACATCAGTGCCCCGACTGTCCTCAGGGATATATGAAATATGCGGATCTGATGAAGCACCAACGCACGCACATTATCAAGGATTTGAACCGGTGTCCTTTGTGTCCCAAGAATTGCATACATAAAGGCAAGAGTTTTCTCCAATGCCCGGAATGTCCACGCGTCTTTGCCAAAGGCTTCGAATTGGAAATCCATCTGCAGATCCACAGCAACAAGTTGCCCTACAAGTGCCCACATTGTCCAATCAGTTTTGCCCACAAATCGAATTTTATAGCGCACGTTCGCGAGCATACGGGCCAGTTTCCTCATAAATGCCCGAATTGTCCGAAAGGATTTATGAAGCGCACTGATTTGATTAAGCACAATTGCGAAGGGTGGAATACTCCAAGCAGGGCGAACAAAAGGAAAAAAAGTGGCATTGATAAGGAGGGTGTGGAGCCAGTGGAGCAACATAAGGCGCTGCTAAAAAAGGAGCCAGTTAAGAGTCAGGTGGAAAGAAGGAGCAGTCCAAGAGTCAAAAGGCCTGAAAAGGAATCGACAACAGCAGGGAGCATACAAGAACCGAGGAAGGAGATGCAGCTGGAGCAGCAGGCATCCATAAAAAAAGACAGTGCCTTAGCGAACCTGAACAGTAAAAATGATTCAAAGCTGACCTCTATCAAAACAGAGCCGCAGGAGGAAGAGGAGCAGAGCACGCCTAAGCAGCAGCCTTTAAATGTTAACTCAAGACTCAAAGCCAGAAAACCTATGGAGCAGCCCGTTGTAAGAATTAAGAGGCTGCGCAGCCATACATGCAATTTATGCAGCAAGGAATTCCCAACAGTCCAGGAACTGCAAATGCATGAAAAGTAAGTTCCCATAAAACCTGCCGAAGGAGTGTTAAACTATATGAGATAGAGTGAGGAAACTGAAGATTATATATATACCTTAAGTTTTCTCTATAGTCTCGAGTCTCCAGTTGGGCAGTCTCAACTAGAGCACTCTTAAACTAGATTATATATATAATATTTGATTTTTGCTTTAAAGGAATTTTTATCTTTATATATACCTCTCCATAACTCAACTTAAACATCGCAAAATATTCGCTAATTCCTTTCAAATTTATGTTTCAGACGCTGCGCCTCGTCGAGCAGGCCAGGCGAGGAATCAAGTCCTTATAAATGTGAGCATTGCTTGAGGAAGTTCGCCCAGTTGTCCAGCCTCACAGAGCACAAACTCAGTCATGTGGCAACACTTCCAGATAAATCCCCGCCTCCTGTGCGTCCAGTCAAGAAGCCATTTAAGTGTCCGCACTGTGCGTGCACCTTTGACAGCACTTTGAATCGGAAAAACCATTTGCAAATCCATCAGGCCCAGAGCAATTATTCCTACAAGTGTCTGCATTGTGCAAGGACCTATCAGCAGAAGTCGAACTTTCTGGCGCACTTGCGCGGACACACGGACGAGCGTCCCTATCAGTGCTCCTACTGCATGAAGGTCTTCAAACACAGCCACGTTCTGAAGAAACATCTGCGCAATCATAGGGGCGATCGGCCGTACCTATGTCTGCATTGCCTGCAAACCTTTGCGCAGAGCTCGCACTTCCATGAGCATCTACAAAAACATGCCAACGAAATGCCATACAAGTGTCCACATTGCACGCGGTTCTTCCTTAAGGCCGTTAGCTACAAACTACATCTGCGCACCCATACGGGCGGAAAATCGTGAAAATGCCCGCAGAAATGCATAGGAAATGACATGAAAAATTTAAAAATAATGTATTATGGGAAACATTCTCTACTGATGTCGGAAGAAAGATTCTAGGGGGATAGTGTTTAGAGAAGAAATGCTGTATACTCCTCTGAGAGAGATATTTAGGGAGATTATTTTTCCTCATTCTCTTGTATATTAGGCATATATTTCTGATTGATATTAACAGTTGAGGGTCATCCGAGCATTTTATAATATAAAATATATTTGATTAACAGGCGCGTAGATAAAGCGACCGATCATATACATATGTATATAATTAAAAACTAATTAATCATAGTTGTCTGCCAGCAAGAGTAATAAAGTTGGCCAGTCTAAACTCAGATCGTTTATTTCGAGAATACGTTAAATAATAATATTAATAGAATACTTTAAATAATAGTATTTAAATTGTCAAATAGTTATAGAAAAATAACTATAACTAGATAAATAATATAAATGACATATACATATATTATATATACATATAACAAATATATATGTGCTTAGTTTAGTTAATTGATTAATAACTAAATAATTAATTAAAGTGATTGAATGGCTAATAAATAAAGAAAAACAGTATATCCATTTCACTTTAGTGGATGAAAATAAGCATTATAATCATATAACATAAAAACAATGCTGAATTTGCATAAAATAATTTTGATAAAATCGAATACTATTTATATATAATATGAAATATTTAAAGCAGTAGTTTTCTTTTAGGTTTTACTATATTTTGTATTTTTATAAATTTTGATTTTTTTTTAAAATTTTGTATTATAAGCAAATGCTAAGTTTTTTCATTTCAAATTTGTTTTGTGTTTCAATGTTATGATTTTCACATATATAACAAAAACAAAACTACATATTTGCAACATTTTGAAAACTCCAAAGTTAGTTGCTATTCCTTTTGTACATTTGCCATTCGCCGCGAACTGATTGCTGTAATCGCAACGCGATTCAAGCGAGTTGGCATGCCCGCAGTGCAAGAGTAACGTGCCAAAGTGAGTAAGCTGATTGTTTATTGAACTTCCACTTAATTACGCTTTGCCATCAGCAGCCTGTAAAATTGAAATAATTGGTTTAATTTATGACAAATTCCATATTTTGCATAAACCTCAAGTAAGCGAATCAAGGAGTTATACAGTTCGCTATAGACGTGCGAAAATTGGGACACATTTTGCTGCAGCTGCGCGCAGACGACATTTCGATTCAGACAACGGGAATTGTTGGTGAGAGGTGACACAMACACACACGCACACCCATATGAGTGCATGCATATATATATACATGTATATATCTATATATATATATATATTGAATACGGCTTTTCGCTCATCTGAAGACTGCATTGATTTTTAACACTTCTTCGATTGCAGTTGAACCGGACATGGCGGAAACGGAAAAACAACTGGATGATACTGTGGACGCTTGTCCACGTAAGGACTACCTGCTGGAGCGATTGAACAAGCGCAACAAGGATCGCCAAAATTACTTGGATATTAAGCTGGAGCAGCGCAACAAGGAGACCGCCTTGAACGAGGGCGTCGACTTCTTTGCCCAGTCGTTTGGGGAGCGCGCTTGTGAGATTGAGCAGAGGATTGGCACACTGCAGCTGGACAGCGGAGACGCACCGCTGCCCGATCTCACCAAGGTATTCGGCGACATCACTCGGCAAATCCAAGAGCTGCAGAATTATTTGACAGCCTCGACAATGTTTCTGTCGGACTTCAAAATCAAATCTTGTCAAAATGTCCTGAATTCGTTGACCAGCGCCTGTGATGAAGCTCGTCAGCGTTTGCTGCCCAAGAAGAAATTCGGCTTCAGTGGCAAGAAGACGTTGGTTAAGAAGTTGCCGCCCGCTCTGAGCAAAGTGGACGGACAGGAGAAGACACAGAAGACGGCTTCAGACAGCGCCTTCATCTGGACCATAGCCAATCGAAACAATGCCCATATTGTGCTACGGGCCGAGCAGGTGAACGGAAAGGATATCACCATATCCAATGTGCACAAGTGTCTGGTGGAGCTGCAAGGACACGCCGGCTCTGTACAGATCTCGAACGCCAGTCAATGCACGATCCTCTGTGGTCCCGTGTCTCGTTCGTTCTTTGCAGAGCATTTGGAACGCTGCACCGTGGCCATCGCCTGCCAGCAGCTGCGCTTGCATTCGTCGCAGTCCACGCGGATCTATTTGCACGTCACCTGCAGAGCCATCATTGAGGATTGCCGGCAAATCGAAATCGACGGCTACAACTACGACTATGCCGAGCTGGAGTCGGACTTCGAGCAATCCGGATTGAATAAGTCACAGAATAATTACACAGACATTGCCGACTTCAATTGGCTGTCGCCCGATGTCCACTCACCCAATTGGCAGCTGCTCAAGGATCACGCAGCGCCCAACTGGAGCGCGGTCCGCCGCGACTTTCTCAATCGAATCAGCGGCGAGGCTGATGTCAAGGATGATGGCAGCATTATATAGTGCTGGCATCGGCGCAGGCGGCTCTTTCTCTTGCTTGTCACGCTGCTCGCCTACGCCTTCCCATTGGGCTGGCTGCTCATGGAGCTGCTGTTGCCGCTGCCTAGCAATCTAAACTGTACTGTGTAGACTAGCTCGTAAGCCCCACATAAATAAATAATCCCAAGTTAATGTTGATATATACTTACATACATACATATATACATATATATGACTCAAGCATGTCTTCATATTTGTCTCTGCTCTGCGGGCGGCTCCATCAACTCGACTGAACTCAACTCAACTCATCATCCGCTCATTTGACATGTCCATTTGGCTGGCCTAATCAGCGGCCAGCCCCAAACTGTTGGCTCTGTGACGGCGACTGTCACACAAATTACCGTTACAACGGCAAGCAGCTGTGGTCAGGCGCTCGCTGGGGCAGTTGGAGACAGTTTGACGGGCCGATTCATGCGAAATTCGTGTGGCAAATGGGGACCAATCCCAAATGGGTCTGATTATCCAAAATAGAGACGTGTCTGCTTTTCGACGGGGCTGTGGACTATGCGAGAGAGCTTGACAGCATTGATATTATGATTAGTAGTATTAGTATTAATAGTATTAATAGTATTATTGTCATTGTCATTGTCATTGTCATTGTCATTGTCATTGTCATTGTCATTGTCATTGTCATTGTCATTGTCATTGTCATTGTCATTGTCATTGTCATTGTCATTGTCATTGTCATTGTCATATTCATTGTCATTGTCATTGTTTAATCTCTTATCTAATTGATGTAAGTGTGAAAGCTATTAAATTCTTAATCCAATCAACTAATTATCTAATTTCCATTATCATCAATTAACTTATATATCCTATCTCATTCCTTATTTTCCCAACTATTTGCCTGTTTAGTCCTAACCACAACAATTACTACTTTCATTACAATCTCAAGTAATTCATACAAACTTCTCATACTCCAAGTTTCAATTAAAGTGGAAAGGGTATTAAATCGTTCCCATGCTGCAATTGGCATATGGCTTAGCATATGTATTTCACCCCACTTGTTGTTGTTGTTGTTATAGTTCTTGTCAACGTATCCAACTGTCAAAATAATTAACGAATTCGACTTACATGCCAAGTAATTGGGTAGTTAGGTGCGCCGCTCGAAGATGTCGGGTGGTTGCGCGGCTGGGTGGTGGAGTGGAGCCACCGCTGAGGCACTGTAAGTCAACGCATTAGCGGGGGTAATTGAACTGCAAATTACACAAGAGCCTCAACTGTGTGGGAGAGAGAGAGAGGAGTTTGTAAGTCTGCGTGGGTGTGGGTGTGTGGGTGTGTGGCTGTGACTGTAAATGTGTGTGAAGTGAGGTTATGTAATAAGCTGTCAGTGGTAACAGTTGTCAGCATTAGGTTTACACACACACAAACACGTACATGTTCTAATTTATATACACATTCAAATATATATATTATATATCTGTAAATAAAATGTAGCCACAGCTGTTTAGCTATACATAATTGTTGGGCACGATAGGTAGGGAAGATGTTAGGAGAAATTTGATTAATTGATTCGTTACTTTTTTAAGATGTAGAAAATAATAAAAGTACTGATAATTTCAAATAATATTTATTGTTTCGTCAAATATTGATGGACTAGAAACTATCTAACGATATCTATATGTTTATCTCTCTCTTTCTCTTTCTCTTTCTCTTTCTCTCTCTCTCTCTCTCTCTCTCTCTACCCGTTTCTGAACAGAGAGTCTCGCTACTATTCACATCCCTTAAATTCTAACAAACCTTCATATAGGGTATTTGTTAGTTAATCATTATAAAACCGTTCACGGCTCTACTTTGTATTGCCCAAGGCGTTGCCATTGATAAAGCTAAACTCTAAAAAATTAAACAAAAACCAGAAGCAAATTCAAGATGAAGACGTTAAAAAAGAAGAAGACAATAAAAGGTACAAGGCAAACAGTTTGGCAGGTGTTGCAGCTGCTGTGTGGTGTGTGTGGAGAGGAGCCCAGACAAAAGGCCAGATAGGAGCACAGTTGGAAGTCCGAAAACATTTGAAAACCGTCAATTAAAGAGCCGGCACATACGGGCTAGCAAACTTGGCTAGAGACTTGGGCTTTCGTTTTGGCTTTGGCTTTGGTTTCGGCTTTGCCTTTGGCTGACTCGAGCAATTAAATGAAATGCAAGCGCAGGGGGTGTGGCAGTAATGGAGGCGGTTGGCAGTGCAGCAGTAGCTGCTGTTGCTGCTCTTGCTGCGTGTACAGAGCTAATCAAAATTGTGGTTAAAGCATTTCTGGGGATTACCAACAGAGACGCTTAATCGTGACTGCGGCTGCAACTTTGTTGAAACTTTAAGTCACAGCGCAACTTTTACAAAACAAGTTTTTAAAGCAAAACAAATAAAGCAGATTTTCAAAGGACATGCTTTATAAATAACTAAGCAAACTGTATGTAATTAAATATTATAATTAAATATTTAATATACTCCACGGATAATTTAAAAATTGTACTTGGCATTGAAATTGCACGAAAAGACTTAAAAATTTGTCTGCATACTTTTAGGCTGAACTTTTCTAACAGTCGACAGCGTTGCACCGCTGTTATTTCAACTTAACAGCTCAGGGCAAATGTTAAGCAGCCCAGTTGCAGCTCTTTGCTGCAATGGCTGTCAAACTGTGTAGGCTTAGTAGGCCGATGGCATTTCTTGCATTTTCGAATATTAAGGAAAATATAAGCCAAAATTAATTAACATGCAGCCATTTATGTGCTGTCGGCAAGACATGTCAGAACTATGCTTGTGGCTTACGGCCATAATCAGTTATCACACACAGGCAGCATATTGTACCTGCAGTTGGCAACGTGTGTGTGGTTGTGTGTGTTGGATATTAGGGGCGTAAAGATCAGACGCTGACAGTCTAATTAAGTTGCCAATTTTCAACAATAGAGTGAGCGAGACAGGGATAAAGAGAGCTCAGCGCATTTTACGCTGTATTTGGAATTTTTCCATTGCAATTCGCATTTCAGTAACTCTGCTTAGCTTTAATTGTTGTGTGTGTGTGTGTGTGTGTGTGTGTGTGTGTGAGTGCATTGCAAAAAGTGAACACAGCGCTGCCAGCTTGTTTGCAGGTGTCTAATTTCCGTTTATTTAAATTAGTCTCGATAAACTATCAAATTTAATTGCTTTAACACTTAGTCAGCACACACACGCGCACACACAAACACACACATATACATACATGCGCTTAGCGGTTATGTGCGCACATTTGCATAGCTCACAATTAGGTTTCTCATTATCGCAGATAATATTCGCAACATTTGAGATAAGCAACCAAGTGCTGGCCAGCTTTTGCATGTGTGAGTGAGTGTGTCAGTGTGTGTGTTTGTGGGCCATTCATCTTACAGCTAACACGCGTACACACTCACAAACACAGACACACACACACAGTCACATGCTGCTCTGCACAAATTACATTAAGCTAAGCTTTAACGGTTTCAATTACTGTCCCACGAAATTGTCCAATCGCCGTTTGTCCCTCTCTCTGTCCCTCTCACTCCCCTTTCCAGTTCGTCAAATTGCGTCTGTGTGCAGATTTTATGGTTCGGCGCTGTGACAGACAATAAATGCATGCACACATATACACACATGTTTGTGTGTGTGTGTGTGTGTGCATGCGTGTAGAGCTTGTGCATTTGAGCACGAAAAGAGAAAGAGATAAAATGGCGTTCACAGCCTTTGGACGAACTTCAGTTGAAATTTATTTTCATTTCGTATAGATAATAAAATACAATAGATATTTTTATATATTTTCATATGTTTTCAGCTTTCAGCTAAGTCTGTGGAACATTAATTTGATCACGTTTCAATTGTGTTTTATTTATTGCCTTTATTGATGATTGCTGTAAAACCTTTTCGACATATTGATAAGAAAAATAAGAGACGCAACAATAACAAGACGAGCAAGTGTTGATTAATTAAGCGAATTACACAATCATGCAGTGCAATTAAAATGTCAGCGCAGCCGCCCAATTGGTCGATTGGCCGATTGGCCGTTCCATGAATTCGGTTTTTGTTTTCTCGCTTTATATTTGACCATGTAACGGCTATTTATTGTTGTCGTTGCTGTTGTTGTTGGCAGGTCAGCGGCGGCGTGTGCGCTGCTCAAATTGTAATTAATGATGCAAGGCAGAGAGGTCCAAGCCGAGCCGGGCTCTCAACCGCAGTCGCATTCGGCGAGCTCAGCCGCCAGTGGAATCTCAGTGGCTGAGCTGCGAAGCTTTGCTACGCCATGACATGCACAGCGCGAAGGAAGGAGGGAGAGCAACGACGAGAGCGAGAGCGAGAGCGGGACAGTTTGACAGTTATTGTTGTTGTTGTTCTTGTTGCTCTTTAGCGTTGTTTGTTTGCTTTAATCATCGACGCGACGCGACGCGACGCATTTAAAAAGCAAAAGCGAAAAAAGAACCGTTATGCCGCGACTCGTGCGTTTCGCGTAAATAAATGAAAAGTTCGTTTAATTCTCGGCGATTCTTTACGTTGCGGGCGGTGTCTGTCGCGTGAGGGAGAGAGAGAACGAGCCGAGGCGGGTGGGACGCCATATCGTTTACTTTGGAAATGAAAAATTATGATTACATCAACAATAATCGAAATGCGCTTGTAAGTTACGCGCTCGGCTACGCTACTTTTTTCGCGGGTGAGAAAGAGAGAGTGGGAGAGAGAGTGAAAGGAGAGGGGGCGTGTGGTAGGTCGACTTCGTCCGTTTCTTTGGCCTGAGCTTTTTTTTGCACATCCGCTGCTATCTTTTTGCATGATGGCTTTGTTGTTGTTACCGTTGGCGCTAGTGAGTGTGTGTGTGTGTGTATGTGTATGTGTGTGCCGTTTGCTTGCTTTTGCTTTTACTGTTTTCCTCTTTTTTTTTTGTTTTTGTTTTTTTTTTTGGCAATTTTTCTTCGTTGCTTTCGCTCGCTCTGCTGACTTGCAATGCTCTTCATGCGTGCAACAGCGTTTGGACAGCAGCACAGAGCTGAGCAATGGAGGGTGGGCGAGCGTAATGTTAACGTTCAATATTTGTGCTCAAAGCGAAAATTCGCCCAAAAAGCGTTCAGCCAAAAATATTGCAATGCAAAATCGAAAATACACCCAAACATGCACACACACACACACACCTAGCACAGCTCTCCCTACTCTTCCCTCTACCTC